GAGACAGAGGAGAACAAAGTCCAGAAAAAACATTGAAAGAAAGTAAAAAAAAAGATTGGAAAGATTGGAATAAATCTAAATAAAAATATTGAAACATTTGACATTGAGACGCTATGCACACATCAATCTCTTTAATTTATAATCTTTTAATTTAAATAAACAAAATAAATAATTTTTATTGCAAAAAGTTTTTATAACTCTATTATTTACAAAAATAACAGTATATATTTAAATCAAACACGATATGTATCAGAACACATATATAACACGCACGTGTATTATAAATATGTATGCCTATTCTGCTATACAATTTATACATATATGTATGTTTGCATTCCCTTTAAATGTTTTCTTGCAACTTCATATATAGGATTATAATAATTGAATTCTATCACGAATTATAGCTTATCTAAAATGATCGAGATTCATATCATCACTATTATTATTTAGCTCACATTATGTTCTCGTTTCTCTTGTGTGTGTATGTTGATCTCTTACTTCTTATTTTCTTTAGAATTTAAATCTTGTATACAGAGAAAAACTTGTATTGTATATTCAATGGTTAACCCTCAAAGTACTTGGGGGGTCCGTTGGAACCATACGAAAAAAAAAAAAAAAACAAAAACTATATTTGTCTCATTTTCATAAAGATTGATTTGTAATGATTTAATTAATAAAACATAGATTTATAAAATTCTTGTGTTTTCATTCCAGTTTTTTTGAATCGATGTCTCAGGCATCAATTCTGCAAAGTTGATAATAAAAATTTGAGTAAAAAATTATTGAAAACCAATATTCAGCGATTTTTAGTAATTAATATCTCGTTAATTATTGCGAAAATTGCAAAATGGTAGAGGACTTTTCGACTTAGTTTAGTCCGCTCTCTCTACACACAAGCACTGTTACCAAACATCCTATATATTAACAGTAATGGTCGCAATTGTTGCAAGCGCAATATCTTTATATTATAAATTTTCGATATAGCTCAGATTTTTATACAAATATATTCTGCACTAAATATAATATATAAAACATATATTTATTTGTATACTATTAAGTGTGAAAACAGAGACTGAGAAATGTTCAATACAACCGAAGGAGGCTACATTTAGTCTCAAGTCTTTCTTGATACTAATAATACTGTTGTGTGAATTTTTACAAAATTCATTTTATTTGAAAATTTATATAAAAATATTGTTAAGACTCTCTATAATCAAATATGGTCTCCACTCATTTGTGTTAAATATTTATTTGAATTTGATTCGTCAAAAAGCATCGTATATAAAATAACAACACTCTTTAATTCGATATACATCATGCGTATCACATACAAATCCTTGAAACAACTTCAATCTCTGTAGAGATATTCCATACAGAAAAATGTATGTATTAAGAATTATATTTATCTTATTTCTTAAGGAAAGTTGCTTTTCAGGATTACACACACATGCACATAAGCAAGAAATATGTAATATCGATTGAAATGGACCGGTAGAGCTTTGAGATTGTATCGCCAGTGGCAATTATCAATAATACGAGAATTGCCAATCATTAATCACGAGCTGATAAACATTATTGTTACTAATATAAAAAGTGATATACCACTAATTATGTCTGCTTTTATTGCGCACTTTGAGATTTAAATGTTTGACAAGACGAAGTTATAACTGATGATATCTTACGTAACAAAAGAATAAAATCAACAGCGATAAAATAAACAGAATTATGAGTTCATTAAGGAAAAGAACGAGATAATTAATTAATTCAAATAAATAAAAGATTTAATTAAATAATTTATAAATTTGTAAAATAAGTTATGTAACTACCTTTTTTTTTAATTTATAAGGTATTTGAGCTGAATAAGGTCCACCTAATTAATTTTATTTTTTTAAATTCTATTTATGGGGATATATTGAAATAAACTAAGTGAGAATCAAATGTTTACTTCATTCACATGCTGTGTGGTAGTTGAGTTCACAGCACGTATATTTGAGTCATTTATATTAAGAGTTTGATATTTGCTTATGAGATATTTAAGTATTTTGTGTGAAATTAATTTGTCATTTATATGTATTATTCCAAAAATTCGAAATATAGATAATAGTTCGAAAGTGCATTATATGCGGTTTGACGTTATTGCGTAAGTAATAACAATAATTCGTAGTGTTGTTGTAAATTTATATATACAAAGTAAAGTACTTAAAAATATTCTATGTTTTCTTCAATTAAATTGAGTTTTTCCATCAACTTCGTATGTAAATAGTACAATGAAAATAGATAAAGATGAAGTTCAGAAATAAAATTAATTTTTTGTATTTTAAAATAAAAAATATAATGCAAAATTTTTTATTGATATGAAATAGTGACTTATTTAGAATATATTTGTTTTTATTATGTCATACACAGAATGCACATTCATGTATCTTATTTATGACAGAGATAGGTATGTTAAATAGAAAGACCATTAAAACAGATCATTAAACGATAATCAACAGGAGAAACGTATATCATACAACGATATTTTTATTTTTTAAAAAACATATTTTTAAAAATTTGTAAAAAATATATGAATTGTATAAAATATTTTCTTTTTTTTATAGAAAATCAGTTTCTGTAACTAAAACGATTTGGGAACAAGAATAGGAGATTGTAAAGAACACTTTTCTACTCCATGCTAAAGGATGTTTTGACTTACAATTAGTTGAACATAAAAAACGTTTGAATACTCTTCGAAAGCAAATTAAAAGATTAAAATCAAATGTACAATCATTAGAAGATTGAATAAATAAATAAATAGATACTGATATCTTACTGGTACATATATTACGTTTTTTAATACTCAATACTTTTCTATATATAAGTAGTAGTTGGTTAGTAGTTAGTAAAAAATACGTCTTATTTTTATCAATATTAATTACGTTAATTAATTTCATATTTGTCCTTGATATAAAAAAATACCACTTTAAATTATTTTTTCATTAATATTAAATAATGAAATAAAGTAAATTTTTTCTGAAACATTAGACAAAATTACTCACAATCAGTAAGACATAATTACTCAGTGCATCCAATTGAATTTGATATTAGATTAAGATAGTTACAGCTACAGATTTTAATAATGGCTAACATTGACTAATTTTTATAGAATGTTTATTCAGATGACGGTAATGACTAATTTTTTCTTTCCATAACAATTTCTTTTGTTTACATAGACGACTTCTTCACTTATCGAAATAATGAAAAGACATTTATCAGGAGTTAAGAAAGCGCCATTTATTCCTGATTTAAGGAGATTTGCCGTAACATTACATTTTTGTTCGGCTACAGTTTATGCTTAAAATCTTTTAACCTTTAGACCACCGGGATTTTAAAATCCAAAATTATGGATACAGTTCCCTCATAAAACCCTATAATAATCCATACATATGTCTGCCATACATTGTTCGATATATACGAATCATCGCATGACGCCATATAGCGTCATACCAGTGATCTAGAGGTTAATAAGTTATTATCTAGTGATCAAACAATACGAAAATAGTATGAGACAATTGATGGCGCGCAAGCCTGGATTACGATGAAATCTTTAACTCTATTCGACAAAAAGTACAAGAAAGAAATGACATTATTAATGTCGTGATTGATGAAATGGCAATTTGACAGCCTGTTCACTCATAATTATGTTGGTTTTGTTAATGTAGGTTCTGATTTCACTTACGAAACCACAATGATTTACATCAAGTAACAAACGTTATTTTGATCATTAAAAGGGTCGATGGAAACATTGAAAACCCAGCCGCAAAGTATCTCGAATTAGCATCTTAAATTCTTAAGATTCTTAAGATTTTACTTAAAATGATTTTGAAATTGGTTGAAATAAAAATAGCTATGAATATCAGACGTTTTAATAATGTATAAATAAGCTTTTTAAAAGTACTGTTTAAAACATTTTAAAACATGTTTTTTTTTAATATTGTTTAAAACATGTTTAAAACATTAAGAACATATTTTCAATAAAAAAAACACAATGTTTTGTTCTTTTTTAAGAAAAACATGTTTTAAAAAAAAAACATGATTTTTACCAACCCTGCTTTTACCGTTACTGTTTATAATAACAATTTAGTAATAACGTTACAATTTTTTATGACTGTAACGATAATTAACTAAATGTTAAGATTGTTTTAAAATTAGAAAACCCACTTTTAAAAAGTAACTCGTCACCATTACATGATATTTATTGAAAAAAATAAAAATAATGAGTAAAAGTAATGTGTTATCTCGTTACAAAAGAAACGAGATATAAGTAATGCATTACTATTCCAACCTTGATGTTACCGTTAACGGTGGTTAACGTCATAAAAAGTTCGCAATATCATTACCAATCGTTATTATAACGAAGTAACGAAAACAAAAGTAACGTTATAAGTAAGTATTTGCTATCTCTAAATTAATCAGAAGACACGGTAGTATCTCGGCGCTAAGCCAAGCAACACACACTACCGTATTTCTTTATGAATATATACTGTATACATATGTCCACGGACATATCACGATAAAAATATCACATTTTCCAATATTTCGAAAAAATATTGTTACGGTACTAAATACCAAGCAACGTGAGGCACAGGCCGCACGGGGATGTAAATTAAGCATCCCAAAGGAATGAAATGGCCATCATGTCTATGTCGTTCATTCCAAATTCTAAGAACGGGCGAAAAACTAAAATTGTGAATGTATCATTGATACATGCACAAATGTAGTAAAAAAGATTCATTTCAATTTTTCTATTATTTTTCATATAAAATATAACGATTTTCCGAAGATTCTGGATCAAAAACTAAGACATTTGAAAGTTTGTTCCGGTAAGGATTTTTCATCAGCTTGAAATAAGTTACAAAATATTAAAATTTGAAACAATTTAACCAAGACCCATTTTCCATAAGATTTGTGCGAGGTTTTTTCTGATAACGACAAAAATGCATAAAGAATTTTAATTTGTATGATTATGTTATATTTAGGACAATCTTTAACTTTCAAGAGAATATACAAACTTCCAGAAATTTTATAATACAACAATCATTTCTTATACAGTTATGTATAGCCTTGCTATTTAAATAGCTCTGATGAGAGCTTGGATTATCCAATTTAAAGAATCCTTAGGATAAGTAATAGAAATCTATTTTCCTACTCTTGAACACACTCGAATTAAAATTGATAAATTACATATATAGATGCTTCGACAATCTACATTTTGCACAGAAACATATATCACAAAATTATGTTACTTATATATATTTTATATATATATATAATTATGTATTTACACTTAATTATCTTTCTTCATTCGATTCGACGTCATCCTATAAATGATAGAGTCTCGTCCTGGATCCATATTGGCGATGGCGACTAAAAATATTAAGATATTAAGATCTTATCATTGTGTTTAAGTTTTTTTGTTGAATGATTAAACATAATAATCCAAAGAACTGATTAGCAACTTACAAATCTTTGTTTTTGTAACATTTAGTTATTCAAGAGAGTTGGGAACGTTAATTATATATCTTAAAAAAATAACGCGTTATCGTTACAGTTACTTTTCGTTAAAAGTAACTCGTTACCGTTACTAGCTACTGATTTTAAAAAGTAACGAATCCAACCAGCAATATCGAAATATCCGACTCATCCAATAAAAACTAAAATAACGATAAAAATAACGGCTGAATCATCACCATTACTGTAAAAATGTAACGAACAGTAACGAAGTTTTATATATATATATATACTGTTATCGTTACAAACAAAAGAGTAACGATCGTTGCCGGAAAAAAATAGCGGCGTTACAAATAACGCATTACTTCCCAACTCTGATATATACAGTGTGTAACAAAAAGATCGGGCCTAAAGATGCTCGAGTTAAATGGGACAACCTGCGCGCGTACGCACGTATGCACGCACACACAAATTGTACAAATTGATATCTTGCAAATAAACCCAACCAGATTAATAAATAAAGGCCACTCGAATCAAAAAAAGTTCAAATTTCTGATTTTAAATAACGATCAGAATATTTTTGAAAATTTTATCACACGTTCAAAATAATTTCAAGCTAAATAAATAAATCCTGTATCTACGAAAATACATACTACAAATGGCTAAGAGCGAGAAGACGAAAACAACACCGAACCACAGCATTATGTTGAATATGACGGGATAGTTTTCAGTGTAAGTCTTCGCACGGCCAGAAAATTCAGGCTGAAACAGAAAGATCGTTGTAACAAAAAGATAGACACAATTTTCGAAACCTACGAAATCTCAATTTTGCGAGAGTCTCTCTCTCGCTCATTCACTCACTCACTCACTCTCTCCTTTTTCTCTCTCTCTCTCTTTTTTGTAGTACTTGCTAAATTTAAACTAATAGCACTCTACATTTTTTCAACATCTCTGTACGAATAAGATTAAAAAATTCAGCGTATTAGAAATGCACAAAAAATACTAAGGTTTTCAGAATTAACATACAAAATAAGTTAAGAGTTTGTAACTTATCAATAAGATCTGCTTTCAATACTTGCTAAATAACTAATTGGCTGGTTAAATCTTTCCTAACAAAAATTTGCTATCAAAAGTTCATTACTTATAAATTCATCATGATTAGAATATATGCATGCAATTGGACATAATAAGCCTTCATGCAGATTATAATTTTGCACTTGAGAAGCACGAGACAGAGCAAGCCCGAAACTGTCAACATTTATATGCAATCATATTTATGGTAATTGATCCGGAAGAAATAACTTCTTGGACTTAATTCCTTTCACTTCTCAAGTACAAAACTTGCTATCTAAAATTTGCCTCTTAGTTAAAAACAAATCAGAAAAGAAATCATAATCCTGTCCTACGCTAGGAATGGCAACGGTCGAGTAAATGTGAATGGGCCTAAAGATAATAAAAACAGAGAAGACACGGCACAGATTCTCCTACACAAGTACTTGAAAGAATCCGCGCTGCAGTTCTGAAAACTCGTATCCGTGATTGTTATCAGTATCAATAAGTCTTCTCTGTTATGATTATCTTTAGGCCCGTTCACATTTACTCGATCGTTGCCACTTCTAGCGTATGACAGGATTACGATTTCCTCTCCGATGTCATTATGATTAAATATCATTCACATTAACCGACATCTATAGCAATCCAATGCAAAAGAAAGCAGTGTTATATAATCTTACTAGCGATTAAAACTGAATTAGATAAGTGTTGAAAATATCTTGTTAATAATGTTTAGTTCTACTGGAGTACTTGATAAACATTAAATTAATTATTCATCTTCTTAGAACTCAAGTGCGCTAATATTCTGGCAAAGTCTGGCAGAACGAAAATAACTGAAGGACCTAGAAAAGGACTTGACAAGTCACATTTTGTCGAATTTTTCTATGCGCTTAAATTTTGAAATTTTATTATTTAATACAGCTTTTTTAAAATAATAAGTTTACTTAAGCATTTCAACACATTTGATCGAAAGATGCGTTTTAAACCGTATTCATTAAGTTTTTTCTGATTTTTTAAATTTCTTTCCGTAAGTTTTTTTACACAATTTTTTCATATAAAATTTACTTCTCTTTCGATAATATTATATTATTAACCTTAAGAAATTAGTAAAAAGATTAGTAAATATTGTTCACTTATTATGAAATCATACAATGGCATCAAAACGCAAAAACTGAGACCAAAAGGACTTATCAAGTGTTTCCCTAGACCCCTCGATTGCGATGCATGTTAATATGTTTGCGATACCTGTCCTATTGTCTGTGTATTAGTATTTATCTTATACTCCGTATTAACTTCGTCGGACTTGTCCGACGTTCCACTATTATCCTGAACGCCCGTACGTTCAGTAGCGCTGTCGAGTGCTGTGTTGGATTCGATAGTACTACTCATTTTATACTCCTCTTCGTCCATTTTATTATTTTGCTCATCTTGCTCGTCGGCTCGCTACAATCAGTGTTGTTCAGTATCTGAATGAAGTGATTAAAGCAAGCCCAGTCCTCAAAACTTCAAAGATACTAGAACTTGAAGGACTTAAGTTTGTCAAGTACATTGATTTATCGATTGAGTTCCAAACTCTATTTATTTGTACGGATCTTGAGTCATTTTAAGGATTTGTCTATGATAAATATTCAGCTCATAACCAAACTTTGGAATTTAATCGAGCTCATATTAACAATTTCAAAGATTATATTAGCGACTATGTAAATTCATCGATGGCAATTTATTGGTGGCAATTCACCGATCTTCAAATTTTATCGTTCAAAGATATCAGAATGTCAAAGATTTAGCGAGTATCTATATTTGTCGACACCAAGTTTTGACGATTTGTTAAAGTTTATTTGAAGAAAATATAAAAAAAAACGATGGATATTGGATAGACAAGTTTGTAAGTTTGTTGATTAGAATAATTAAAGAGTAATTCGTCGTGTTCGCGATATCCATGCAAAAAGCTATCTCTAATTTGGAAAAAAAACACTCTCAATCAAATAATAGCCCATGCAATGCGATTCGACACGATACCTTGATGAAAAAATTATCGTTAATGTCTGAACTAATTGGCGCTCCTTTGGCAGTGGATTTAACATTTTTAGTCTTATGAGCCTACAAAATACCCCGTAATAATTAAAAATGGTACAAACGAAGAATAGATAATTTTAAGCGAACTAACACGGCGATTCTAAAAACCCAATATTTCTGAATAATTGGAATAAAGTTAAATATTGCTCAAACCAATTTAATGGTCTTTTTCGTCTTTTCTATTATCTTCCGGAATGGAGAATAAATTTTGATTAATTAGTGTTTAGATAAAAAGTATGATATAGGTATACTTACTTAATAAATCGGTTGCAAAATTAGTTATATCATATAATATTATATAATATTATACATTATACATATAACATTAAATATTACTTTGTATCAAATATATTATATTGTACAAATACAAAAGTGTCCCAGACCTACCACTACTTATTAATGGCAGATTCTTCAAATCATTTTGAAACGAGAACTTTAATATTATAATATTGAAGTTGTAATAGTTTTCAAATATAGTGTTTAAAGATAGCCAATCGGGTTGTTCAAAATTTGCCCTTTCTTGTTCGTTGCATCAGTCAAGATGTCTTCATATCAGATATTAAAGTTTAAACATATATATTAACAAAATTTTATTATCTTTGAATCTATCTTTTCATAAAGTTAAGTATGAAATAAACTCATAGTTTTATAAATTAAAAAATAATCCCGCGCTTGACTCCTACTACCCTTGTTCTTTCATTGTTTTTTGACTTATAAGGAGTCTTAGTTAGGTTGATTTATTATACGTTATTAATATAATTATTGTATTCTTTAATTATACATATATATATTTTTCAAATATATATTTCTTTCTTCATTGTTCTCGAAAAAATTTCAAATAATTCTGCTTAAAACACATTAAATTGTAAAATTTATATAAGATACTATTGAATAACTTACCGGAGGGGTGTCTCTGCGCTTTCTCTCGAGAACGGATCGAGCATTTCTCACCTTCCAAGCATCGTTCGTGAAAATTGCAATGACAATCTGTAACAGATATTCAAAAGCAAATTCTGAATATGTAATTATATTCTTTGTACAACGAACTATATGCAAATATGCTAAAAAGTAGTGATTTTTAATCATTGATAACATTTGCAGATAAAATGAATAAATTTGTGTACCTTGCCGTTATAAAGGTTTAAAAAGCCCTCGGAAACATGTTCTATTCCGTCATTTAACAACTTAGATCCCTCCTCAGCAGCTGCAGAATCGTTTCCATGCTTATCCAAGAGTGATTTGAACGTTGATATTATCAGCCAATAAACATCTGTATCAGAATCATGCTTTTTCGCAGAAAATGCATTGTCACCAATAGCACGAAGAAGCTGTATCTCCTCAATAAATTTACGATCTTCCTCAACCTCTGAATTCAGATTGTTCAACTTCTCGATATTAGTAGGTTTAAGCTCACCGAGAGCTGACTGGCCAAGCTGTATTAAAAATGTCTTATTTAGTGTCTAGGATCTTTAATAATAAAAACTCAAATTATTAAAATAAGTTTTGTTTTTATATGATGCTATTAAAACTATCAATATGTCTATTTAATACTTACAGCATCAACTCCATCGCTCAAGTTAATCCTAACCAATGTGTTGTCGTTGCTTCGCTCTTCTACTCTGCTTCTAATTGCTTGCCAAGTCGTTTCTTCTACTTCGTCAACAATCAGAGAATAGGTGACTAAAGCTTTGTCTTTTAAGAAAGGCAGTAGCCCTACTCCATCAATCACTATAGCAACCAATGCCTTGGGCATTGAAAATGGATCCCGTATGACAAGGCTATGTTCTGAATCCTTCTGTAAAGTCACAAACATATTTCTGTTAGAGTAAATAACTTTTCAAATATAACATAGGTCTGTTTTTTTTTTTATCTAAACTTCTCATACAGTTTATCTCTTTTTTTTTCTCCAACATAGAGAGAGAAAAGGAGAAAAGATGAACTGTGCAAGAAGTTCAACTAAAAACAACAGGCTTCACATCACAAGAAAAGTGACACATATATATATATGTAATGTCATTTCAAGTATACTAGATACTTGAAATTTTGAGAAATAAATTTTAAAAAATTCATTGTTTTTAGATTTACTTGACGTTGCAAAAATTTAAATTTTTGCTATTTGAATATTTTAAATACATTTGAAGTTTTCTGGTATATATATAAATATATCCAAAAATTTAAACAATTCTAGATATGATATACCTGCTTTCCAGTATAACCAAGAATTGCCGACAAGAACTCCTTAAGACAACTTTGTTCAATCTCTCTATTTCCAGTGAATCGTATACTGTCTGGTGAATGCAGAACAATGAATTCGCCATCGGCATGGACTAGAAAGGCAAGCACTAGGATAATTAAATTGTAAGGACGAGTACAGAGGCCTGCCTCTTCAATAAAGCACAGCTCAATAAATTTAAAATTCCAAGAAAAAAACTTTGTTCTAAAATACAATTAAGTTTAAACATTCCGAACATTTTCGAAAATAAATATAAAGAACATTTCGTAGACTTTTCGACAAAATATCTTGAAAAATGGATTGACTTCCATAGAAATTTGATCACAAAAAACTCGAAGTATTGTACTCGTTTTGGAAAAGATTTCTCATAAATGAATGGAGAATTACCTGCGGCAAAGACAACGAAGAGTATCGATAATTGTGGAAGCATGGTTGCGTGCAAAAATGATTAAATTCGAAAGATACTTCTTAACTTCCCCGATGTCGATCAATTTCGGACGTGATCATGTGATCATGTCAGATGTTAGATATGTAACACATTTAAGCCAGTGTTGCCAAATGATCTTGAAAGTTGTGCCCTAAAACGTATCGTAAAATCCCCTAAAAAAACCCCGACAGCTAGAAGCAAATTCCCTAAATTTTCCTCTAATGCTGGATTCACACTGCATCCGATTTTCGTTGTACGACGCTCTGCAACCAATCAGAAAACAGGATTCCGATGAATTTTGCTTCGTATTATCGGAATCCTGTTTTCTGATTGGATCCAGCAATTGCTTGAGATTAATGCCTAATTCACACTCGCAGCAAGCGTCATGGCTCGTCTACAATACACATAGCAAGCTTGGTTTAAGAAGTAAGAATAAGAAATTGACCAATCACAGTCGATTATTCTTCTCACATTCGACTGTGATTGGTCAATTTCTTACTCTTACTTCTTGAACTAAGCTTATTCCGCATATTGTAGACGACGCATCAAGCAGCGGAGCAGCAACCAATCCGCGAGGCGATATTTAGGCCGGAATCAGACTACGCATTGAAGATTGAGATCGAAGATTGAAATTTGACCAATGAGAGCAAAGGAATTTTAGCTCCTATTGTTTTGATTGGTCAAATTTCGATCTTTCAATCTTCAATCTCAATCTTTAATGCCTAGTCTGATTCCGGCTTATGCGGGGTCTACAATAGAAGTCGTAGCGGTCATAAGGTCTTAAGTCGTAGAAAATTGACCAATCACAGTTGATTATTCTTCTTATATTCGACTGTGATTGGTCAATTTTCCACGACTGCTACGACTTCTATTGTATACCCCACATTAAGGCTCTACGACTGCTACGACTTCTATTGTAGACCCCGCATTACAGTGGCGTAAACAATATCGCCTTGCTGGTTGGTTGTTGCTCCGCTGCTTGACGCTTGCTGCGTCCGATGTGAATTAGGCAAAAAACCGGGCTATGGATTTCGGCCCTATCGTATAGGTTGCCGACTAAGCGCACGGTGTAAACGTAGCCATAGGTTTGAACAATGTCCTTGATTGGCTCTTTCCGAAATGTGCGCAAGAGCCTATCCTTGGCTGCGTTCGAAAACATCACCCGAGTGTCCCCGTGTATCATTTTATCTTCATTATTCACCCAATATTAAACAAGGATAAGTAGATTACACCCGTTTGGGAGGCACCCGGGTGATATTTCCGAACGCAATTCTTGTATTTATATTATGGCTGCGTTCGGAAACATCACCCGAGTGCCCTCGGGTATCAACTTATCTTTATTTAACATTGGCTGCATTCAGCGGACTCAACAGTTGAGTGAGCGTTCGCTGCTATTGACGTATTCTTCTAGATCTAAAATTATGATTGGATGATTTAAAAGAATACACCAATAACAGCGAGCGCTCACTCAACTGTTGAGTCCGCTGAATGCACCCATTGGTTGCGTTCAGCAGACTCAACAGTTTTGCAACCGTTTTATGATTGTCTGCTGAGATAGGACCATTCTTCTAGATCTAAAAGTATGATCCAATTAGCGCGAAGGAAACTTCCAACAGTTGCAAAACAAACGTTCTGCTGAACGCAGCCATTGGATGAACAACAAGGATAAAACGATATACGAGGACACTCGGGTGATGTTTCCGAACGCAGCCCATGGGTGTAGCAAGGTCATTCTTACCTTACCACGCGACTTGCGCTGATGCATCTCGTGACTAATCGATCGCTCGCGTACCTTACGATCCGTTATCGTAATTATCACATATGGTTCCACCCATGACCGCAATATCAGACAGACGATAACGAGAACCAAGTGTGACCAAGTGTCAGCCGATGCTCCTGGAATAAGATCTACTTGATCGTCGCGGCACGTTACTTTCAACCACAAAAATGGGCTCACTTTTTCGCAGCGAGGAGATGACTTTGTGTCAGCTGTTCCTCCAAAGTGAAGCCGCGTACGCTTGCGTCTCCGAGCTCGGCGAGCTCGGTTTGGTACAGTTTCGCGACGTAAGTACCTATAATAATCGCGTTTCTTATCGTTTTCTCTTACCTCTTAGCGGCCCAATAATTTTCTCTTCCTTAGATAATTGATGACCGTCGATTGTCGAACTGGTCCTTATCCTTATCATTATATCTTTGTTTTATTATGTATATGTATCTCATTTTAGTTAAATCCCGACGTCAATGCTTTCCAACGGAAGTTTGTCAACGAGGTACGACGTTGTGACGAGATGGAACGCAAGCTGCGCTATCTGGAGAAAGAGATCAAGAAGGATGGCATCCCAATGCTGGATACCGGAGAGAACCCAGAGGCTCCCCAGCCCCGGGAGATGATCGACCTGGAAGCTACCTTCGAGAAACTGGAGAACGAGTTGCGGGAAGTAAATCAGAATGCTGAGGCGCTCAAGCGTAACTTCCTGGAACTAACCGAACTCAAGCATATTTTGCGAAAGACTCAGGTCTTCTTTGACGAGGTAAGTTGCATCACACAGATCCTTATTGCCTCTGTCTAATGATTTGGGACATAACGCATAAAAGAATCAGGCAAATTTACTTTTTGAAGTATTAAAAATTATCAAGAGCAGATCTGCTTCCAGATCTGCTTATCAGAAAGGAAGAATGATATCCGTGGAATTGTAAAAAGTGGATGTATCTAGTTCTTAATCTGTCGATCGTTTCTGTAAAATATGAATGTGAATCTGGTTGGGGACAACTTTTTGCAACGGGTTGTAAATATAAAAAATGGTATTGTCACTTGTTGTGAATGTCGAGTCGATGGACATATAAGAATTCTTTCTCAATTGGATACTTTAGTCTTTAGTTAGTGCAAAGCGCAGTCATTTATTTTGCTTTCAAGACACTTGCCGGGAATTCATTCTGCTCTGTTGGCTACAATTATAAATTTTTGCACAAAGAGGCAAGATGTTGTATTGTAAAAAGTTAATGTTGCAACTTACAGCCTTATACTTGTTTGGCTTACATTTCCGTTAATCGATTATCGTGTAAATTCCGCGTTTTCTTTCAGATATAGAGATTAGTGTGAATACGCTTCAGTGTGAAACATGTTATCACTTTAATGGGATTTCTTTGTAAATCTGCTTGATGTTTCTAACGATATAATTTATTTGGAAATAACATAAAGAAAATGTATTGTATCTTTATAAAAACTTGGAAGATCTTTGCACGAGGAGATCTTGTTGAAGTGACAATCTTGTAATATATTATAAAAAATGAAAGTCAAATTATTGATTGAAGGATAGCTATACTTGAAAGAGAGAAAGAGAGAGAGGGAGGGGAGAGAGAGAGTGAGTGAGAGAGAGAGAGAGAGAGAGAAAGAAAGAGAGAGAGGCTACATGCTGAGTCAAATTTTCTCTGATGCATGAAAAATTGGAGACTGCGTGAATTAGATATATCACAAGAGCCTGTCTTTGCACTTATGCAACTTTATGCGAATGCAGCAGAGTTGCTTAGAAGCAAAATGAAATAAGACTAGAGATGAAAATGACCTTGTGTGATAATTTACTCTATAAATTACGGTAAATAACCCAGTAATTTTGAAAAGTTAAGCAAAATGATACTTTTGAAGAAATTGCAGAAATAAAAAAATTTTGATATAAATCTTAAAGGGATCATTTGACCTTTAAGATGAATGGAACATTTATTTCACTCATCTACAGGATGTCCCAAAATTCCGTGACTTAAAATATTATAACAAGAAAGTTTAAAAAAAAATGAAGTATAAAAGTTACTTGTAAATTTTTATTTTAGTAGTAATTTTTTAAATAATAAAGGTTTCTTATTTAAATCTTACCGTAATTTTACTGTAAGTAATCGTCATATTGAATCTGACGGTAATTTTACATCTCTGGATAAGACTGATGAAGAGTGGCGAATCTCTACCACTTCTAAGAATTGTCAGACATAAGAATGCTCTCGTTTTGTACTGTTACTAATCATATATTGTTGAGTGATTTTAGGATTATTAATGTGTTAGTGTCGCCAACTAACAAAAAGCCACTGCTGCAAAGGACACAAGTCACTCGCTCCGCCCTGTCTCCCTTTACGTTCCTTGAGAGTTATCTAGTATCGTTGCGATTTTACGGATTCATATTTAATTGTATTTAACGTTTGATCCTAGATTGGAGAAACTACTTGTTGTTAGTTTACCCATATTGTGTGTAGCAACCAAGAGAGACTGTATATTATTGTTGTTCTTTTTGTATCGACAGTGTCTTGGCACCTTTGCACATGAACTGTCTCGGATTAGTCTGTAAATGTATCTTTTAAAAACGCAACCGTTAACATATTATAATATTCTGAAAATTCTTTTTAATTTATTTTATATTTAATATATCTTTTCTTCACATACACATGCACACTCGCGCGCGCACATGTACGTACAAAATATATTTTCTCATTCTAATTTTCACCGCGTCATTTCTTTTATTAACTTTTTTTTCTTTTATTTTAGTGCATTAATGTGTTATATATTTTTTACTTCTGTCCTTTGTATTTTGTTTCGTTAATTTTAATTTTTCATTTTCGTATAAATAAAGTAAAGATGTATCATAATTCGTGAAATGTTTGTTTGGAAACAGACATGTTTGCACGTGTCGTATTTATTTAACAAGATATTCATACGCAGTAATTATCTAAGAATTTCAAATAATTTTTTGATATCCATAATACTCTATGGCAATAATTAGGTATTTAAATGTTTTAAGTCACTTCCCCTAAAGTTTTAGGAGCAAATAGTTTTTCTTAGTGGCAAATAATAAAACAATAGAGATATAGAAATATGCATCATGATAAACATACAAAACACTACACAAAATTATTGTCGCTGAAATTAATATAAGATTACTATAAATTAGTAGAACCACGAAAACTCCCACATATGAACTAATTGTAGGCACGAAGCATGAAGCTTGCATAATCAATAATAATTAATTGATGACAAGTTGCATGAATTGTACTAATGTCTGCAATATTAAATGAATTTGTTCAATACGCATTATTTAAAGGAAGTTGTACATACTAATTCTTTAAAGGCTTTGTGATTTGCACTTTTCATGGAACGTATTCGTTCGATAACATCAGATATTTGTAAAAATGTAAATGTGTAAAATTTAAATTTATAAAATTTGAATGTTTTTAATTAAACCATTTTTTAAATTTCTTTTATTAAAATCCTTGTAAACTATATTTAGAGAGTATTATCAATTATTGTGCAATTACTTTTTTCAATGAAAAATATGTTAAATTATAATTATACGAATTATTAGTATTATACTCAAATAACAAATTTGTACAACCATGAACCAATAAAATATTTAATCGTTTTTGCTCACTGAACGAAAATGTCAATAAAAATTCTGTAGCACGTACAATTTTTTGTTATTGAAACATTTATTAGGATGTCATTTTTAATAGAAATATTTACTCCATTTTTGTTTAATTAATTTTACATCACAAGTCTTAAGAGTTTAAAATTTCCCTTTTCTTTCTTTTCAAACATATGAGGAGTTCGGGGAATGCGCTATTTGTGTCATACTATCTTTGTTTCACATCTACTAATAGATGATGAAGATAGAATGACACAAATAGCGCTTAATAGCGTCTCCCCGAACGCAGTCATTGTATACCCCATTTAAAAACGAGAGAAGTAATTATTTTGAAAAATGTTTCAAACAAAAGTTGTTGGGGATCAAGTAACGTACTACATGGACATACGCGATAGACCTTGGGTGGCGTTGTGAAAGTCATATCAAGATTGATTTGAATTTTTTAAATAGGAACTTATATCCTTTATTGCATATTTTTGTATTTGACGTTAAAACGTTTTTGAAACACTGGTTACAAATCCTTTTTAGTTGACATTTTTTTGTGTTATGAGACTTCAAAATTTCAGTACCGCCGGCGTTAGCATTATCCAAGGTCGCACGGTCGGATTTACACCTCTTCGGAGTGCTTGATTAAAGGTGTAAATTCAATTAGAGGTGTAAAATTGAAAAATAGTGGTCACATGAAAAAATTTTTCAGACAAAAGTTTGTTCTTTTATGTAGAATAAGATTTTGTAATAAAAAATATAAGCTTCCATTTAAAAAAAATAAAATTAATTTTGATTTAATTTTTATGCTTTCACTCAAAGTTAATGTTTTTTTTTTTTTTTATCAAAATATATCCCCCTCGATACAATCACGTGAAAATATGATCTCGATATCTCACATAGTTCCGGAGAAATTTCGTTATGTCAACTTAAATGCAACACCCTGCATATAATGTATATAGCAGAGCACACATGATAAACCCAACATTTATTCTGATTTCCAACTTGACCGAAATATAAGCTACAAACTTTGTCTTTTTGTAAGTGATTTTATAATATAATGAAATTACACATATACCAAAATTTATTTAGTGTATTTATACAAGATCTACAGGAAGAACTCGCCATATTTAAATTTTTTAAAAAGAAATCTTCAAGACTACACAAAAATAATGTGTTGGAACGACGTGCGACTTTTTGGACATTAGACATAAAAAAACAGAGTTAACAGATAAGCACGAAATGCAGATTTTATCAATGTTACCAAACCTTGTCCTCAGTAGAGATGTTCGATCTTGAATCGATCTGAGAAGATTTGAAATTGGTTTTTCTCTTTTGCGATTTCGTTTTTGCAGAGGATCGATTTCCAATTTCTCTACAACTTACAACGAAATGTAAAGGAGTGTCGAGCAGCGTTATGCAATTAAATTCTGTGTGAAACTTGAAAAAATAGCTTCAGAAACAGAAGAAGTTACTTTATTGTCAGTCTAAGTTTTCAGGTGGTACAAGGCGTACAAGGATGAAAGGAAAGCTGTTGAGGATGAACAACGCTTTTCCATACGTTGTCTTTAACATCTTTAACGTTTCTGAAGCTATTTTTCCAAGTTTCACACAGAATTTAATTGCATAATCTCTACATTTCCGTGACGAGTGTGAAAAAACAAGCGTGCACTTCTACAGTGTATCGACCGTTCGTAAGGTTTGAATTCAACTAAGGATTCAATCATATACTTGAGATCCTTACTCAATTACCTAGACTTTCACTTTCCTCACGCAGTCGTCCTGGGAAGCGTAAAAAAACCATTCTCATTACTATTGACAAACTATACGTATACACAGGCACTTAAAATATTACAAGCTATTATCTCTGAAAGTACGCGTCAAATTGAAAAATATGTTCAGATAAAAGTTTTGTGACTTCGAGGGGAACAAGAACCATTGGGTTGACCTTGGGCTGCGCTGTCAAGGTCAAGGCAAGGTCACTTTAAATTTTTTAAATGGAACTCCATTTTTCATTGCATATTTTTGTAGCACATATCGAGAGCTTTCCAAACATTATAATAAAATATTTTTTTATGAAGAACTTTTCGAGTTATAAGGCTTAGTTACAGTATCGCTGGCATTAGTATTAAGGTATCCAAATGACAGCTAAAACCTCTTGAATGTTGTTCAGGGTTATGATCTTAATAACATTTGTTAAGATCAAGGCTTCGGGAGGTTGTTCCTCTTGTTTCCATTTTTACTCGTTTAAAGTGTTACATGTCACGAGTGAAGCCCATTGGGTGAAATATCAGGTTAAGTTTAAGCACAAATTAACCAGTAAATGAAAAACCGCCTTAGTAACAATAATATAAAGTCTTTCTTTAATGATGCATTTTACTGTATAAATAAATTTTTCCGAATTCATCTTTAAGAGATCAATCTTTCCAATGCCGATCTGTCTGGCGAATCGATCCATGTTGCGATCCGAAATAGATCTTCAGTATCAGGCTACTCCTCGCCCTGATGAAGTGAACTGCAATGTTCATGAAACGTTGGCATTACAAGAATGGATCTGGACACGGAGATAACCCGCGAAACGCATAATCTTTATACAGATAGATCTTCAGTATATAAATCGAACATCCCTATTGACTAGTGTTATTATTATAATTTTCTTTTTTTAACAAATAAATTTTAAATAATTACTATTTGAGTTTATTATATTCGTGTATTTTAATTTTAATAGAAATTTAGAAACGTATTTTGAGAAAATAATCACGGCCTTTACTGAATTCAGGAAATGAAATTTTTTGCATGTAGCATGTGTAGCAAGATTGTAACTATATATGTAATATATGTTTCTAATTTAAGTAATTTATAATTATTGTAGCTATTATAGTTGCAATTAGTAGTCAGCAATATTTTGATTATAATTGTAAAACTAGAAATATTAGGGCTGCACGAATTTAATACATTTCGTGATGCTTTCCTATTGAACTATTATACATCTTTGTATTTCTTAAATTTTACGTCTCAACTTTATACATTTAGTATCTGATTTTGTGAATTTTAAATTTTGTGCAAACTTTAGATTTTGAAAAATTGGATATCTAGGAATTAAATTATTATATTCATTTTGAAAGTTTTTTCAAAACATTTAGCACGTTTAATGTCTTGTGTGTTCAGAAAACTACTTCCGTGAAACTGTTTTTAAATTTGATGGAATTTTTATTTAAATTCCTCGTGACTTTTAAAATCTTTTAATAAAATATTTGAAGCTTTATTTTTTCTCATTCTCTCATGGCTAAGCGTCACGAATTTAGTCTTATTGTTAGATCTAGCATTGAGCAAAATTACGCAACTTCATGAAGAGATCCCTTCTTCCTCTTCTTTTTCTTCTTCTTCTTCTTCTTCGGTGAGTTGAAGAAAATTTTGAATCAGAGAGAAGGAAAGAGGGTCTGGTATGAGCGAGTGGAACGGGAGATAGGGCGAAAGAGGGGTGACCTGTGTCTGTTGCCAGGCTGAGCATGGAGGTGTCGTGTCGCAGATGGCAGATCCCAGCCGTGAAGAAGAGCAAGTTACTCTGTTGGGTGAGGAGGGCCTCCGCGCCGGCGGCCAGGCTCTCAAGCTCGGGTAATTAATGTGTGGCGTACATCCATTTTTTATGCAGAGCGTGGCGACTGCTGAATACGTCTCAAAAGATAAATGGATGTAAAATCAAAATTTCGGTCTTTGCTTTAGAATTTAAGTTTTTTAAAAATCCATTTAAAATGAAAACTAATAAATATTGTTCTTGCTTTTTTTGAAATTCTACTTTCTATATATTCGTTTACTTTACAATAGCTAATACTAAAAAAAACTACTTTGTAATTATTGAATTGAAACATTGTATATTCATAACATTTATCAGAACTTCTGAAATTAAATTGCTCAATTCAGTTTCTCCCCATTATTTTTTATGGCATTTTACTTTGCCTTTTATTTAAGATACGATTTTTCTTTAGATTTTTTTGACGTTTAAGTTGTTCCAAGTTCCAAAGTTACATTGCTCCTTTTCAAAATTTTTAAATATTTATTATAAACTAATATCTCTCTTGAGTTATACATGAATCTTATAACGGATTTATTTTATTTATTGCATCTCGATTACAACTTCATTTAAATTTCTTTTTTATTTATATTCTGAGTTCTACTAGATTTAATCCAGGATTTGTAATTCCGAATCACCACGTTCTGCATTTTAATTTCCACATGACCGAGAATCATCAGTACATAACGTCGCATGCCTACAGTTTGTGTTGCAGAATATGAATCCGATGTACTGCTGCACTTCGCAATAGTGCTCGGTTACTAACACTGATCCTCAAATTACTGACACGAGTGTATATGTATATCTCTTTTTTGAAAATTCTCTTTAACAAAAAATATACTTTATACTTCTTTGTCACTTTGTATCGTGACTCGTATTATCTTTATTTTTATATAATACATAACAAAGCTGTTATGTAATTTGTTGTGTTGTTATACATTATTTTAACAATTTTTTTCAGAATTACTTTATAGCGGCGTACTTACTATGAAAGATGTATAAATACGTATTGAGATTTAGATTTATTAATCAATAATCTGAGGATCAAGAGTAAGTCAGGAAATGTGTTGCCAAATAAATGAAATAACGCGGTGAAATATTCTTATATGTACTTTCGAACGCGTATTGGGACCGAAATGTCGCAGAATCGAAAATGAACCGAGTCTTTAATACGGTCTTTATTATATTTATAAAACAGTTTGTCAAAATATCACTTTTCTTTCTCTCTCCGAAGTGTCATAATATATACCCCGAAGATTTTTTCATGCTGAACATGATGTTGTCAGAACGACATTCTTATTTGCATAACACCAGGATTTTGAGTAAATTAAGATAAAATGGGCTTAAAACGTCATTTTAGTCCATTTTGCTCAAAATATTGACGTGTTATACAAATTCTAATAATGGCATCGTGTTCGGCACGAAAAAATCTTTGTAATCTGTACTACGATGCTTCGGAGAGAATTTAGTGTTGAATTGTATAATATAATACTTACTACATTTATAGTAAATTATTCTTACGTAAGACTTTAGTATTATCGTTACAACATAATAAATTATAAGTTAATAACGTACTTAAAAAGTGAAACTTGAAAAATCGAGTCATTGAGAGTTATCCTTGCATATCTAACATTTTAGCATGGAGGAAGTTGAAGTTCTTTGAATTCTTAGACTTTCTACTATTTAGAAAACTCAAGAAAACTTTAATTTTCAATAAATCTTAATACTTTGAAATTGAATAATGATCATTTGCAGCTAACTAAAAAAATTAGTCTTTGCCGCAGATAATTTGCCACAGGTAATTGAACATATGTATGTATAGCTGTTGCAAGAGAACGTTGCCAATATCAGCGAGTAATCAGAACTGCGATAAATATCGTATTAAAGGCTCAGTTTTCGCACAGAATTAAAATTGCGCTCGTTACAGAGTTTTCCTACGTACGCGCAAAGTTCAAGGAAAAGAAAGATTTCGTAGAGGGTCTTAATCAAAGAAGTACGCCGCATCATTTCCAAATCTTTTTTTTTCTTCGCAATCTTCCCCCTTTCCTCTTTCATGTAATCGTAAACGCTACGTCGAAAGCCCCGTATTCACCCTAGATCCTAGATAGTAGAGACGTCCTACGTCAGTGTGTTCTGTGATTACAGCAGCACCTGTACACTGCGGCAGACGCCATAGGAGCACATTATAGGAATCCGCTCAGGCAAGCTGTTATCAACCGTTATTATTTGCGAATCTTGTTTGCAAAAATATTTTTTTTTGCCTCGATGTTGTTGCCTATGTCTATCCAAGACTCTAGTTGCTCAACGAACGGAGTCGTACTTTGCGTTGCTGGAACACCCCCTCGCAAAGACCGTTTTGAGCTGTCCCATACCCCTTGTCTCTCGACGTGCGAGGTTTCCTTTCTCCGTTGAAAGTCCATTTGTATCCACTTCGTAAAAATATTTTTATAACCTGAATCGTTCCCCGATTCTAAAATTGTTCCTCAATTTTTGTATCAGAGACTTAAGCCGGTATTTATAGTCAGTTCTTATATTTAAAATCGCTTAAGTACAGTAGAGTTTTAAGATGTCATAAATCAGAACCATATTAACGTCTTAAGACATTACTTCAGACGGTCTTGTAATAGGAACGGATTATAAACACCGATCTTGGGTTCCTAAAATCTTAAATTCCCTGATTTTCCAGATTCTTTTCTCATTAAGGAGATTCTAATGTTTTCTCTGTTTTACCGATCGAATGCGATTATTTTTTATGTAAGTATTTTTCTAACTGTCTTTACGAAATAAAAAAATCTTTTTCTACAATTAAATTCTGAACGATAATGTAGTCCAAACCAGCCGACTTTATGTCAAAAACGAAAAAAAGTTGGATAATTATAATTTTTTATCGGTTTCTAGCGTTGACTCATAATAATATTTGCTTTACGTATGTACAAGTTTTATATTTTGTACGTACAAAACAATTTTGGTCTGGACGAAGGATTACATGAACAAACAATATTGAGATCGCCCGGCGATCTCGCGCTTTGTGACGGCGGAAGGGCGTTGCAATACCGCAGCAGTCTTGCCACGTTATAGTGTGCATGTGATAATGTAATATAGTGTGTCATGATGTGTCAATACGTATGTGTTCTAGAAAAAGATTTTCAAATCTGTAAAAAAAGAAAAAGAAATTGCGACTCACAAATTATTGTGTTTAATCGATAAAACAGACTATAGAATCTCCTTAAATCCTCATAATTTCTTATTCGAATCTCTTGATCGCTTTGAAGGTATTTATCTTACTATTTCTCTTATAAAGGAATGTTTTCAAGTATAAATCACAAAATAATGTCAAACCTACAGATTTTTTTTTATAATAAAAAAGAGTTTTATCATTTATAAGCTCAACAAATTTCTCTTAACAAAAACATTTTTTGCAATTGCAAAATTCTTGTATATTTCTCATTTTTTGTTTGATTCTGCCAAAACAAAATTGTTCACGACTACTACTGGTAGAGTATGATTTAGCGTCATAATCCAAATTTAAAAAAAAAATGGAGTTTTTGTGAGAAGTCTTTCCAATATACATAATTATACACAAATATTAAATTAAAAGAATATATAAATTGTGGTGATTCTACATTGCAAATACTTAACAAAAAACCCTACATGAACCAAATCCCAAGCGGTCCAAAGAAGTGTTATTCGTAAGAAACGATAAAGATTTCAATATTTTATAAATTTTTTTTATTCTCGATATAAAATCGACTTCATCTCAAAGGCACGTATATTTTAATTCTGGAAAAGGATTTTCAAATCTATAAAAAATATAATGGTGAAACCAATATGTTTCTGAACATGTAGTGTTCCAATATTGAAAGTGTATACTTTATAACTGCCATATTGGTTCTACTATCTTTATTACTGTTATAATTTACAAATTATGAAATTTCATAAAATATTAATACAATTTAAAAAACTAAATAGAATTAAAAAAAAACAAAATTGCATTTTGCTAAAAAAAAAAAAAAACTACAACTGATAAAATGATGCATATTAAGCTACGGTTCACTTGATGCTACAAATGCTTCGAAGCATTTTTTGACTAGTCAATTAGTAAAATTCTTTCTTCCGATTGGTCAATCAAATGCTTCAAAGCATTTGTAGCGCCAAGTGGACCGTACCCTTAAGTATCTGTTAAAATTCATAAATATATGATATTTGTTCATGCTTATACCACGAGATTAAGCTTAATAAATGATGTATTTCTTTTTTTGGTTATCGAAGAGAGCAATTTGTGTAGATTTGACATTATTTGCGATTTACATTTAGAGAAACTTTTTCTCAGGCCGGAATCAGACTACGCATTGAAGATTGAGATCGAAGATTGAAGATTGAAATTTGACCAATGAGGGTAAAGGAATTTTAGCTCCTGTTGTTTTGATTGGTCAAATTTCAATCTTTCAATCTTCAATCTCAATCTTCAATGTCTAGTCTGATTCCGGTCTTAGTGACGTTCATCAATAAAGGATTATTGGAAATCTAAACTTCTCTTGACTGTTCAAATCACATATCTTTGTACCATACTCCAAACATTTCCAATATATGTTTTACAAATCTGGCCAAACTACCGTGGTCAATTCTTATACACTGTAAAAAATAAAATGTTAATTTTAACTTAAAGACATAGTATATTTTCTGAGACATGCAAAAATATTAAAATTAACATTTTTGTGTTAATTTTAACATTTTTGTATGTCTCGGAAAGTCCACTAAATGTCTTTAAATTAAAAATAATATTTTATTTTTTACAGTGTATAATAGATAACATCCTATTCTCTTTATCCTTGGGGATGCTTCAGCAATCAGAATCGCACTTAAAAGACAAACGCGATTATTCGCTTTCATGAATAACCGCTCAATTGCGCAAAACAAAGGCTCTCACTCATTTTATGTCGCAGTTTACGCGCGTTTATGGAAGAGAAAAAAAAATCGGCATGGATTGCGCTGACTGATAACAGTTGATATAGTTTGATACAATCGTTTTTTTAACACTGTTTAA